TTTTTTTTTTTTAATTTAGTCACAATTAACCAAAAAGCCTTGACCAGTGGTGGCAAACCTTTGACATGCACGCCACAGAGAGCTGTTTGTTATCACTGAAAGCTCTAAAAGATTTGTCATCATTGGCTTAGATGCATCAAGTTAAATGTAATTAATATGCAATCAATCACTGTTCATCTGAATGTACACTTAGAAGATACTTGCACATGAATACCTTACCCTGAAGAATACAATTTAAAAGGGAAGATCATACAAAATAATTATGTAATACAAATCATTATGTAATGAACATATAAAAAACAGAAAGCTCAGTATCACTAAGGCTTCATAAAGGTATCATATGATCTGCATATCAAAAGAATGGATGAAATATTTTAAAGAAAATATTTAAAAGGAGAGATATGCCAAAGAAAGAAACCTGCTAACAAAAATAAAAGGAAAACACATTATCAAAAAACAGCAAGTAATTCTGGCTGAAAGAAGTTATAGATCTTAGAAGTAACAGTAAAAACTAAGGCTAGAAATGCTTATTAGAATGAGATGATGAGAATACCTCATAAGTAGGCAAAAAACTCTGACATCTTGCAAACAGTGGAAAGTAAGTGTGTAGGGAAAAGACACAAAGTAGGGTTGGTAACATTACTTAGGTCAGAAGCATAATAACTTATTAGGCCAGTGATTCTCAAATTCTGCCTATGGATAGGTAATATTTTACAGACCAAAAAAATATAAAACTTTAGGGACCATAAGCCTAGATTGTGATTTGGGTAAAGTAAATTTTAAAAAGGAAGAAATGAATGTTAAGAACTATGGAAGATTAAAAAAAAAATGGAGAATGTGGTGAATGAGTGGAGACAAAACTGAAAGAGTAAAATATAGCTAAAATATACCAGGTATGGTAATTATGGCATTCTGGTAAGTTGAGGCAGGAGGATTTTAAGTTCTAGCCCAGTCTGGGCAACTTACCAACACCCTGCCTCAAAACAAGAGGGTTGAGGATATAGCTCAGTGCAAAAGTCCTAGGTTCAATCCTTAGAATCACACACACACAAAAATAAATAAAAACACAGCTAAGATTTTAAGCCGAGTCTTGTAGTGATGCTACAAAAAATAATCAGAACGTAAAGGAAGTGGTCTAGAAAATTCAAATATATTGAAATATTAGAGTTTATGATTAAAAAGTCTCTCAAGATAGGTAATAAGAGGTTCAGAAAATGAATCCGCAAGTATTTATTTGTATATACTGATGATGGTTGAAAAGAGAAATATAAATGTAAAATGAAGTTTTCTATTTCTCTTGTCTTCTAAGTATATATGTTAGCCCAGTAAACAGTATTCAATCTATAAAGATCAGTTTAACAAAAAAATTTAGAAAATGTTAAACTGTTGGCCATAGTGGCATACACCAGTAACTCCAGCTACTCAGGTGGTTTAAGCAGGATTAGAAGTTCAAAGCCAGCCTGGGCATCTTAGGTAGAACCTATCTCAAAATATAAGTTTTTAAAAAGGGTTTGGGATATATATCAGTGTTAAGAGTGCCCCTGGGGTTCCATCCCCAGTATCACCCCCAAAAAATAAAATTTCCAACTGAACAGCTAATAAAATCAGTTATCCAATATAACATGAATATTTTAAATAAGCATGGTTTCATTTTTAGCATCTGAAGTTGAAAAAACAGCCTACCACTGCTTGTCTCTGATAATTTTCTGGAGAAGAGAATGATCTCTGAATTATCTGTGATGATGGTGTCATGTTATCCCCAGTCCTTTCATATCTGCTAGAAAGAAAACATAATCATTCATTCAACAGATACTTACTAAACTCTAATCATGAACAAGACACAGTTCTCTCAAAGTTGAAAATTAGTAAGGCAGACAAGGTATCTGCTCTCTTAAAGCAAGAAGAACACAAACAGAAGGATAATTTCACATGATTATAAGTTATATAATGTAAAATTAAAAGATCCAGGGGAGATGAAAAATCAAGTTCTATTTTAGTTTGGCTGGTTAGGGACAGCTTTTTTAAAAAGGAGACATCTAGAGTAAAAGCTGTTTAGTAAATTTACCTGAAGGCAAAACATTCTCAGCTGAGGGAAGGGTTAGTGCCTAAATGCAAACTATAGTGGGCCAAACAGTTTTGTAAAACAAAGTTTTTATTGGAACACTGCCATGCTCTTTACTCTATGGCTACCTTAGTGCTGTAACGGCAAATACTGTAAGGCCTCCAAAGTCTAAATTATTACCAACTGACTCTTTATAGAAAAAAACTTGTCAATCCTTGAGCTAATGCACAGGACTAGACTGAGAACTAAAATGGAAAGAATTTCACAGAGTAAGTACGATGGACAAGGGAAGCAGAATAAAGAAGGGATAAAATTCAGACTTTTTTGTCTGAGAAACTGGTTAGACATGTAACTAACACGTGAAAAAAAATAGGTTTTCGAGGCAAATATCCAATTATGTGTCTTACAGTTTTGATTAAAGATCAAGTAGAGGTGAGAAAGTTAGAGGCTTTCTTTTACATTTTTAATTGGTCTTTCTTAAATCAGGTTATATAATTATATACTAAGACTTTATTATTATCTCACCCATTATTCAATTTATATTATAAACAGTGTAAAACTTTGATTAAAACTATTTACCTGTATATTTTTGCCCCAAGAAATTGTAAGGGGGGAAAGTACTGCATCTGTATAATCATTTGCTTATATAATCCCACTATCTCTTCATGGCCATGCAATCTTCTCCAGCTCTTGGCACTCCTAAATCCAAATCACCAACCTTTTTCCAGTAACTTCTTCACTATACTGCTACCAATACCAGTACTTTGCTACCAACAGCATCCCAAATGGTTTATTTTTATTCTTGCCCTATCTAATCATTCTTTCATTGCAACAAAACTCTGAAGTACAATCTTCCTGTCATTAGCCTACTTAAAACATTTTAATATCTTTGTTTTTTAGAACAAAATTCCCCAAATCTTGATTATAGCCTTTTCTGAAAGATGCTATTCAGTCTCTATCAAAATCACCGACTGCTCTCTACTTTCATTATGATCTAGCTACACTGGCTTCTTTCAGTTCCTCAATCATCTATATAAACTCCTGTTAAAATTTTATCAAAGCACTTTCTTCTAATTCATTGCAGAACTAATTTCAATAATTAAACAGAATCACAAAATATATACCTAACATATATCTTAATCTAGACTTAAGACAACACTTTGCAATATGTCAATATCAAGGCTAGATCACACTGCCTATATTTGAATCCCAGCACACTGAAAAATGTTCAACATCCTTGGCCATTAGATAAATGCAAATTACAACACTGAGATTCCATCTTACTCCAGAAAGAATAGCTATCATCAAGCAATCAAATAACAACCATGGGCGAGGCTGGGGGAGTAAGGGGCTTCTATTTTTGTTAGTGGGAATGTAAAATAATATAATCACTGTGGGAGTTCAACAATAAAGTAAAACTAGAAATTCCATTTGACCCAGCTATTCCTCTTCTAAGTATCTTCCCAAAAGACATACAGACATATTACAGTGATACATGCACACCTAAGTTTAACAACATGACTCATAATAGCTAAAACTTGGAAGCAGCCTATATGTCCATCAACAGATGAATAGATAAAAGAAATGTGGTGTAGATACACGATGGAGCACTACTCAGCCTTATGTAGGATAAACTTCAGTCATTGCAGGAAAATGGATGGATGTACCTTGAGACCATGTTAAGTGAAATAAATCAGATACACAAGCTTAAATATCTCAAGATTTCTTAGATGACAACCCCAAAGTATAAATAAAGACAAAAATAAAAGATAATATAAAACAGGAAGCCAGACTGCCTGACATTGGGAAGGGGAACTAGAGATAGAAGGGGTGTAGAGGGAAAGGAAATCAAGGGAAAGTAAATAGAATTATGACATGTTATATACATGTACCAACCTTCTACACTGTATGTAAGCAAATATGTACTAATAAACATTAAAAAAAATATTACCTGTTAGGAGATGTGGAGGTAGGGCTTGAATTTCCAACATGATGCTGGGGGTATGATAAACTGATATCCTGTGAGACATGACTACTTCCTAAAATGAAATGATTTCAAGAATTAAAATAGAAAACTTATTTTGAAAGTATATCTCTCCACCCCAAATTACTACAAGGAGTAATTACAGTTTAAAAGAAAACAAATTTAAATTATAGTCTTCTTTACAGTTTTAGAAGTATATAAGATATGCAAAATAAAGCATTCCAAACAAGACACTATTTATTGTATAAATATGCAGACTGGCCTCACACTAAATTGTAAGATAGAATATATGGAAAGTTTCACCCTTACATGATCAAGAATTGAAATTTGTGAAAGTAACTTACAAAGCGGCCACAATAAGCACTTTCAAAAAATACGAGCTCCTTTAAATGCACAAATCTGAACCCAAATGCCTCTAAATAAAGCTTGTATGTTCTTTTCAATAAGGCAAAATGAAATTTTAGTTTTAAAATTTTAATTTTCAAAAATCTGTATCAATATTACTTATTTCTGGGGATTAAGTCTACTATCTACAAAGACTAAGAAAGTACTTTACACAGCTGGGTGGCACTGTGCCTGCCTTGAAAGTGCAAAGTCCTGAGTTCAGTCCCAGGTACCACCAAAATAAATAAATAAACAAACAAATAAATAAATAAAAGGAAATATCAATAGTTATATGGAACAAGAAGAAAAAAAATTTAATTATATATTTTACCAAAAAAAGGTTACTTAAAACTGAGTAATAAATTTAAAAACAAAAAACAAATCAGCAAACAACCCTTCTCCCACTAACATCATGGTAGAGTTACCTGATCTAAACTGAATTTTGATGGGCCTTCCAAAAAGTTTGATTCCATTAAGTAGATTCATTGCATAAGGAACAGATACTTCGTGTTTAAAATTCACAAACGCAAATTGCTTTGGTTTACCATCCTTATCTTTTGGAACAAAAAGTTTTTCCATTAAGTAGATTCATTGCATAAGGAACAGATACTTCGTGTTTAAAATTCACAAACGCAAATTGCTTTGGTTTACCATCCTTATCTTTTGGAATTTTCACCTTTATTACTGGCCCAGCCTACAAAAAAGTGTTAAGAATTTAAATAAAGCAATTTCTGGGAAATATTCAAATTTTACAAATAAGAGCGAACACAAAGTTGAAAAACAGACACGTAATCAGGAATTTAAAAGAAAACGGCTTTTCATTTTGGTTAGAATGAAAATCTTGGTTATGACTGAAAATCAGATTAAACTTATTTAAAGAATGGGGCCCATAAGGAACTGAAAATACACTCAATGACTTTACATTTCATATCACAGAAGACGTTTTAAAAAGGTGACTAACATCTATCATTTTCCCACTGGGGAAAATGGAGCATTGAGAATACGAGAAAGAGACTTTTTCAAACTAAAAATTCCTTTTGTATTGATTAATCATACACAGCCAATTACTGGGGTAATTGGGATGGAAGCAAATGGATACTTGGAATTTTTCACACACATTAATACAGAACACTACTATGCTGCTTTTCCACGGAGTATACTTAGATTTTTAAAATATTTTAATAAACCTGCAATTTTGTAAGTAAGTTACGAGCTGACACAGAAAATAAAATACTGTAACGTCGGAGTTTGACTAGCCATAGGCAAATCACCTTAAAAGGAAGATGAGAAAAAGAGGAAAACACAAAAGCACTGCTCAACGAAGACCTCCACGGGTATTATTACGTTCCTTAGGACCCCGAATCTGCAGCACGAGAACGCTTGATTGGGATTCCTCCACTATTTTTCGTCGTCACTATTGGAGGAACCAACTAAGGTTCTTCCAATAAAGCGACACCCAGCGAGCGCCTCGCTTCTTACCTCCCTCGGTGAGCCCTCCATTCCCAGGCAGCCCACCTTTGGGGTCCCTGACCGCCGATCTCCAGCCGCGAGGCCGGCCCTAGATGACCAGAAAAACCAAAGGCCACGGAGCTAATCCCAACCACTACTTACCTGGTGGAAGAGCTCGAAAAGCAGCTCCTCTGTCACTTTAGTTTCAAGGTTGCCCACAAAGAGAGTGCGGTCAGCTTCCGCAGCCGCCGCCCCCATCTCCACGTCGCCCCCTCCCCACTCAGACCGAAGGGTCGCGGCAGATGCACCTACTGCGCAAACTCGAAAACCCTACGTCCTCGCGCTCAGGCGCCCTGACGTAAACATCCATCGCGCCGACCTCGGTCGGCGTGGGCATGCGCGCGCGCAGTGCGCCTGCGTACAAGCTTAAGGCGGTTTCTCAGTCGGTCTCGCGGTAGTTATGGCGTGCCCTGTAGTCGTTCTATCCTTTAGAGTCGGGCTGGATTGATCTGTGGAGAGACGAAGAAACTTCCGTGACCCACTGACGTGACGTAGACATTGCTGGCAGTGTTCGAAGATGGCCTTGAACTTTGTGACCCTGTCCGCCGGCGATCAAGGGATCTGGGTGGCCCACAGCTCTTCCCACGACTACCCGGTCCAGTCGGCTTTAGCGTCGGCGATGGCCTCTGGAGACAGCTTCCTCGTTGGCAGGCCCGAGCTGATTTATCCCGGAACTCGGCAGGCGATGCGACTGAGCGTTCAGACCGAGGGCCATCGAATGCCTGGTGGCCGGAACCCGACCCGCCCTATAAGGGGAAGAGAACTAGAGGGTGGGAGACGAATTGGCTCAACCAGGTTCTCACCTTATCCAATCCCTAGAGTCGACTCAGTCTGTTAAATGTGCTGCAGCAGCGTCTGATTTCATTTGGAAGGGTCTCAACGCGAATTTCATCTTAAAATGAAACAATCCCCCCCACCCACCAGCTTGCGAACAAGGCCACTCTAAAGTCATTTCTTGGTGTAACTAGTTTTATTTTTAGAGAGATGTATTTTTACTTTAAAAATATGTATGTAAGCGGTTGTAATACAGCCTAACTCAGAGGAAAACTTTACTCTTAATCCAAATGTAACTAGAGTGATAGCTCAGGGAGGATATGGAAAGGATTTTATTTTTAGCTGGGCAACAATCCTTTAATGCATTCTTTGTTCACCCCTTTCCCTCTATAGTGATTCCCTTTCTTAGAAACTTGTAATTCGAGCCTCCTTCCATAGCTGCTTTCCTCTTTATCTCAGACTCTTCCTTGTAACTTGTGTTGGTGAAAAAAAGATATGCTCCTTTTTATTAAACTGGCTTATCCTTCCATCTTTTCCCCAGCAATTAACATCTTCCATCCTCTCCAGATTTTATATTTTAAGATCTTCTACAAACTTCTCTCTCGGCCATTACTTAAAAAACGTAAACCTTAATACTCTTACATTATTCCTTTTGCCAAATGGTATTGAAAGAGAGTTTAAATTGCCAGTTCTTTGTATAAGCAAGTAGACTAGCTTTTTTCTCAGTAGGCTTTTGTCTGTGTAGACTTCCTTAAAATAACTTCAAATAAAACAAAATGGCCGTACTTACACAATATCTAAAAGTTAGAATCCCATCTTGAGATAAACTGGAGAACTTACATAATGGAGTTCTAGAAACTAGGTCATAAGGATGACATGAATATTAGCTCCTATTTGTTATTCTGCCTAGGAATTATTATTCATTGTTTATTGAGATTACTAAGGATTTATTCTGGGCCTGCTACTGCCTATATTAAGCACATGGGATAAAGACAGATAAGGTCCCTGGTCCTAATTAAAGGAGCTCTTTGTATACTACTAAATTCTCATAGCTGTCCATTTTTTTCTGAAAAACAGTCCAAAAGAGATGAAGTAAAAATTTTAAGGTCAGACAGCTAGGAAATAGTAGAGCCTTGCAGCCTTTCAACTAAGGTTCCTCATCTGAACCATGCAGCACAAATTATTTGAATGACTTTATCTGAAAATAATATGTAAGACTATTCCAGATAACTAAAAAGTTAGCTCATACTATACAATGCATTCCTTTGGCTGAGCATTATGAAAATTTATGATCGAGAAAGTAACACCAAATATATATGTACTATAAGTTTTTTGTTTTTTCTTTTTGAGGCAGTCTTGGTATGTAGTTAGGAATGGCCTTGAACTTCCTGTGTAGCCCAGGCTGGCCAAAACTCATTGTGGTCCTGCCTCAGCCTCCTAAACGCTGGGATTACAGGCATGTGCCACCACTCCCATCTGCTTTAAATTTTGGCTTGGGCAAGAATAATAAAATTAAAGCTTGAAGTAGGGAGAACTTTCTTAAAATTTAGAAATGCCTAATAGTGGACAATACCATCTCAGCAGTTACTAAATTAGCTGCCAAAAAGTTCAAATATAGGCTAAAATGTGTCGAGGATTTTATCAAAGGAGTTACAATGCAAAATAGGACTAAATAGCCAGGTGTGGTGCACACCTGTAATATTTATGACTTCTTACAACCCATGTCTTATTCTGTCTTCATTGCAAAGTCCTACTCTGTTTATCTTCATAATGTATTTATATTACATTCCTATAATTGTCAGTTATCACCTGACATATTTACCCGGACATACAGCCTCGTTTTTTTTGTTTTTTGTTTTTGCCTCTACCTTTATCCTAAATATAAATTGTCCCCAGACTAGTGATTCACAAGCACATCTGACCACATAGCTACTACTATTTTACAGAGCCTCCACTGAAATACAGAAGATAGTCCTTTGAAAAAGACAATAAATTTGACAAGTCACACATCACCTTATTAGGGAGTCATAATGTGTAATAGTATGTTAAAGTTTCTGATAACTTTATTTTAACCAATGTTCCACAAGTTAATTTATCCATATCTTTAAAATTTTTGCACATTAACTTTCTTCATAAAAAGGCCATCTTCTGTAGAAACAAATGTCTTTTACATGAGACCCAATTTTACCATTAGAAATTGATGTTTATATAATATGACAGATTTTAGTAAGTTTCCAGAATATTATTAGACACCCATGGTTTGACAAGGGTTAGCTTCATCTTTTCTGCACGTGATACTCATCAGTGTCCAAGCAGTGAGTGTGAAGGAAGCAAGCATGCAGCTGCAGATTCCCTAGACACTTAAGTATTGAAGCTGACATTTTTGCTGATAAAAGCTTGTAGAAATACACGAGGTATACATGTAGGCACAATTATTTCTCAAGTAGGCTAATTTTTAATTTTTTTCTTTAAAAAAAGTAATGGTTTTCTCAGCTCCTTATTTCACTAGAATATCTGAAGACAGCTCCACTTTAAAAGGTACAGTGGTGCCTCGGTTAACATGCTTTTGTTTGCAAACAATTTGGTTCACAAACAAGTGTTTGGCAAATTTTTTTTTTTTTTGCAAACTGTATCCAGTGACAAAACTGTGGCAATCTTTTCCAGACTCATCGAACAAATTAAGTTTGTGAACTGAGGTACCACTGTAGTTCTAAATCAGAAGAAAAAAATAATTACATTCAGCATCCCCAAAACCTGAGTCACTGAAGCAGTGTAACTTTAATAAATGGCACATTCCATAAACAGGCATTTAGGACTTTTCATCATTTGGCCAAGGGACCTTGTCAGCCTTTTGCCTATAATTCCCCCAGATAGTTGCTGCTCTTTTCAGCTTCATGCCTAGGTTTATTCTGGTCCTCCTAACTAAATAGCTTGTCCTCATATTTCTGCCAGTCAAACTTACCCATCTAGATCAGTCAAGACTTTTTACACTGAAAAACAGCAAACAAAAACCTCACCCACAAATCGACTATATTAATTCGCAAGGCTGGGAAATTGTGTTGACCATTTGATATTTCATCTATATAGCAACTGTTTATCCTCCACATAATAGCACCTTGGTTTTTCTTTTTCTTGATCCCTTCGCATACAATCTGTTCAAATACTTGGACCTAGCAAGTTTCATATCTAGCTCCAGGGATAGAAGTATATAATCTATATCTTATTTCCCTTAATATGCTGAAATTTTCTGAAGGCAGACAATATGTCTAAATTATATTTATACCTGTGAAGTGTCCAAAGAGTAGGTATTTAATGAATGCTTGTTCAATGAATAAATAAAGTTTACCAAAAGACTATCTTTCTTGGAATCAAAAATTTTAAAACCAGAATATTTCGGGAAGGCAAGGGCAGGAATAGTTTCTAGGGTCTAAAATGAAATAGTTGCTTGGATAAAGATAACAAAATAATAAAAATAAATTTTGCTTAGCAATGTGTTTCAATTTGCAATTAACCTACCTATTAAGCCTCACAATCATCCTATGACTAAGGGGGCAAAGTTTTTCGGTAAAGATCCAACAAGTAAATATTTTAGACTTTATGATTTGAGAGGCAAAATAAGGTCAAACAGGTACTTACATAACAGCTCAAATTTCTACAGAATTTATTCTGACAAATTGAAAATATTAAAAACAATTGAATACGCTTTTTTGGTAATGTTAAGATGGAATTCTTTGGGAGAATAACATTCGTTTAACTGAAGTTCAAAGTTATCAAAATCAATAGCAAATGCTCATCTATAATGCTGGATGTTCATCAGATTTTACCTATTTCATCTTTAAAAATGTCTTTATTCAGAGAGATACTGCCAAATACTGATATGAATACTTGAGCATATGGCTTTAATTGAGCATTTTCATTGCTTAGAAGACATTTATATAATTCTATTAAACTCTTCCCTTTACATTTGCCTTCTAGCATGTCATTACATTGAAAATTAATTGCTTCCAATAGTTTAGATGTGTAAGCTCAATTGCCTACTTAAATGACTTTGAAACATGAAAGCTTTCCTTGCACTTTCATCCAGATCCAGATCCAGAAGATGCTTTTAGAACTCTAGTTTGAGCTAGGAAAATATATGTACTGCAGATGTGTAAAGGTGTGATCTTGCTTCTTGTTTTATTTACTTATTTATTTTTGGTGGTACTGTGTATCAAACTCAGGACCTTGTGCTTGCAAGGCAGTTGCAGTGCCGCCAAGCTAAATCTCTGGCCCACTTGTTTCAATTTTTAAAAACAGTGTATAAAGCACCTTGAGATTGCTTATGATTCAAATAATTCTAGTTGCTATTGAAATGGTTTTACCACCATAGAATTTGATACATAAATGCTGTTTTATCTTTTAGTTTTATTTTAGAGAAACATTATAAAATCTATAGCAAAAGCTAATTTCCAAAGTCATCCCTAGTTTTGTAACAGTGGTTGAGGACAGTTCTTCTAACCACTTAAATATGTACAAACTATTCTTAGCTTGAGGATTGTACAAAAAGCTGGCAGTGGGCTGTGTTTAGACTTTGGGACTTAGTTTGCAAAGAATGTTAGTAATTCTCTGCTAAACTACCCAAGTGCACAAAACTATTTAGTGGTGAGCAGAGATTTAAATTTGATCAGGCAGCCTGGCCTCAGAGCTTACTCGCTTTGTGACTATGCAATATTACCTATTGTGCTAGGGTAGCCAGTAACCAAATCCAGCATGGAGTTTTCTTTTGCCTAACAATTTTTTTTCTTAAAAAAATGCATTACACAATATTTGATACATACAAACAGTATAAGAAAAATACAACTAATATCCATGTACTCATCACCCAATTTAAATAAAAGACTTAACTTGCTCATCTTTCCTGCAACACAGTGTCCTAAATGTTTTTTCATTTCTATTATTTATTTTTAAAACATAAATTTTATTATGGTGTTTTTTGTTTTTGGTACCAGGGATCAAACTCAGGTCCTTGAGCTTGCGAGTCAGGAGGTAGAACCACTGAGCTAAATCCCAGCTATTCTGTATATTCTTATTCTTATTAAGTTGTTTTATTTTTAAATAGTGTTATACTATAGTATTCTTCTGTGACATGCTCATTTTCTCCACTCAATTTTGCCAGCATATATTTAAAAATTAAAATTGAATGCCTTTGGACATATTTTGTTACCACTGCCCCACATTGTATCCCCCCACACATTGTCTTATACTAATTCATTTCATATATTTTAGTTTCCTGCTTGGCCTCTGAAGCCACTTGAGCTGCAACTCCTGATTTAAAATGGCATCCCACATAACCATTCAAATATTTCTGAAATTTTGCTAATGAAAATTTTATAGCAACATATTATATATAATGAAAAAAGTAGGTGTTAAATTTGTGTATATTAAGAGAAGGGAGTTAAGGGATGGGGTAGATTAAAAATTATCAGATATGTTATATAGATGTACCAGTTCCCCCAAATAAACCACTATTATGTATTGCAAGTATACACTAATAAAGGAAAAGAAACTATATATATGTATATATATATGTATATATATACATATATATATATATATGACATATATCATTTATAAAAGCCAATCACTGATTATTTAGGGATGGAGATTGACTAATTTAGAAGGATTTTTCCCCCTTAGTAATTTAATCCACAGCCTCACACACAGAAAGGAATTTTTTGAAGGGGGAAATATTTGAATGTGCAGTACATGATCAAATATAAGTCAAAACTCACCAAATTGTACACAAATTGGATGCATTTATTGCACATAAATTATTTTAATAAAATGAGGCGACAAAACAACAAACAACATTTTGTGGGGATAGTGGGGATCGAACTCCATTCCTTTCACTTGTGAGGTAGGTGGCAGAACCAATGCGCTAAATCCCTAGCCCAACAACATTGTATTAACAAGAGATAATCCCACAGTATTTCTGAAAGTGCTCTCATATAGATAAGAACTTGCCAAGTTTTTTTTTCTTTCTTTTTTGGTACTAAGAATCTAACTCAGGACCTTGCACTTGCAAGGCAGGTGGCAGCACCACTGAGCCCATGGCCCATTTGCCAAGTTTTCTATGGAAGGAAGAGTGTATTCTTGTGTGGAAGCAACAACTAATCACAAAAGGTAGACATATAGCCAGATAAAAGCAATAAGTGAGATCCATCAGCTTCTCTTGCCCTGGTTCCAGCTGACCAAACAAATATCTATCTAGCATGTCTTTAGAGAGATTGTACTAATCTCACCTGAGCATTACAAATCCTATGGC